GCTACTTATGTAAAAGCCACAAACAATGTGATTCTTAGGATGCGAAATTGATTAACAGAGCTTTCATCTGGTTTTATTCTTTCTAAAACGGTATTTTAACTAAAACTAAGGAGATAGTAAGAGGGTGACAGTTGAAGTGTAAAACAGCTTATGGTACAAGCTTCGGTTTCCGTAAGACGCCACTGTCACAGTGTGTTTCAGACTCTTGATAAGGCAGAATTTTGTATTTAGTACTAGCATTTAGTTTGAACAATTGTATCTAATTATAATTCTCTAGTGTGCCAGAGATAGATATTTCTAATTGGCTTGCTGTCCCAAATCCGTTAGGTTTTAACTGTAGCATCCACACAGTGGGACCTGCTCTACGGCTAGTAGACGTTTAGCCTGCTGTGACTGACCACGGTACCATTGGCTGCTGTAGCCTTCTGCTCTATCTTAGATGGTTCTTCCCAAAGAGGTCAGTCAGTGACCAGTTAGTGGGAAGGAGCCAAAAGTCGCAGCTGAGAATGACCTGTGAACTTCATGAGTAAATAGAGTGCTGCAGTGACACTCCCCCCAGCTGTCAGAGTGAGAGTTGCCGAATAGCAGAATTGTGAGTGGCAGGTCACAGTGAAGGGAGAGAAACTACACAAGAAAAGAGGAGTCTTGGAACTACATCGATAGGAGAGATTTATTCCCTGAGAGGGTCACACTGAGCTAAGGCTGCCAGGTCTTTTGGGAGCGCTGGGATGTGTTTTAAAAGGGGGGAAATAAGGATCCTAATTTTAGAAAGTAGTCTACAGATTCATGCTCCCAAATTATAGACAAAGCCGCATAAATTTACAAGTCCACATAGCTAGCTATACCTACCAAAAGCAGCAAGATGAACAGCTATTCTGAGACCTTTTCTCCAATCAGTCAGATGTTTCAGGGTGAAAAGCAAGCCTATATTCAGGATGCTTTTAAGCTCTGTAATATACCTGAAATTATCACCAGGGTAGGACAGGGTGCTACTCTATGTCAACTTTTCCATAAACTTACTGGTCTATTCCTTCCAAGTGGAAACCTTTTTTTCCTGAAAATAAAAATAACTTTTCTTGGATTTGGGATGAAATTTTGTTTTGAAAGTTTGGTTTTGCTCTGATGTGACAGACATCGCTGGCAATGGCCTCTGATCCTTAAGCTTCTACCACCAGGTGTTTACTTGTTGAACGTTGTCTAGAAAGAGGAAAGAAAGTTCTCACCAGTTAACTCTTGTAATCAAGATTACAAAACAGGGATCTACTCATTAACACTGTATCATTCTCGATATATAAAAAGCACTTTGTATTTAAAACTTTATTATAATACATATATATATAAATATATATATATATTGATTTTTTAACCTAGAAACTAGCTATTACCTCTTGGTTGTTTGCCACATTAATATTCTCTTCATGTTGAAACGTCACCATTACCAGTCCTTTCTCTGTGGACCTGACAGAGTGACTGGACAACCAAGCTCAGCGGCTCCTGTCCTTTCTCTCGTTAGAAGCCAGTGGGGTTAGGTCTGATCCCAGCCATTATGTGTGAGGAGAAACTGCTTCCCCCCCTTCATCTGTCAGCACTAAGGCAGAGAGGCCTTTTAGTCCTGCCAACAGCTGATGACCCTCTTCCATGGTATCAGCAAACCAGTGTCTGCCTGTTTGGAAGGTGTGACATCCTGTTTCCCATAAAAGATTATATTCACACGGGCATTGGGACATTGGAGGAGAAGAGTCCCAGAGGTAAAATTAAAATCCTGGGGGGAAGTCACGTTCCTTCAGTTATGCTGAGGCCAGCCAGCACCCACGGCATGAGTAATGAAGCGCGGCACTGGGCCAGGAGCAGGGGGGCAGCCCTCGGGTGTCATTTGGAAGCAGTCAGTTGTGCTGGGGCTTACTTCATGAGTTGTGAAGCTGTATTTTTTGTTGAAATCCTTATATGCACATCAGCTACTAAATGTAGAATTTAAAGTCCAAGTTCCTCACCTCTATTGTTTTAAGTTTTTTATGATCGTTGAGGTTTCCATAAAAATTAGGGTTGTTAATCAGGCCAGCCAGACCCTGGGAGACAGTTGGGCATCTGAAATGTTGGCATGTTCAGAGAGGTGGGGAAGGGGATTGCCTTAGTTTGGACAATTCTATAAACTCGGCTTTTTGGGGGTAGGAGTTCATGCTGTATTACTACGTGTTTTTCCTGCCTAACCTGGGTTGGATAGTCTGTCTCCTTAGCCTCCGTACAGCTTTAGAAAATCTTTATCCTTCCAAAGTTTGGGTGGCTGTGGGTAACATTTTCCAAACAGTTTTTCAGGGATCCTATCAGTGGCCTACAACCAAGGTATTTGTCCTCTATTTTATAGAGTCTTAACTGTGGTTTGATCTACTCCCAGTGGGAAAGGGCTTCAAGGCGCCACCAGTGGTATTTAATGTGAGTACTGATACTATGCCTTTAATTTTAGATGTACACATTACAGTAATCCACTTGGTAAGTAGGCGTCACTGTCTACGGAAGGACTGCGGCAGCCTTTCCTCCTGGGCCCAGCCTGTTGATTCTGATGCAGATCTCACCTTCCTCCGGTCTCCTCTCCTGGCCACAGCTTTCAGAGAGTCTTCCCAGAGGGTTTCCTCCTTTCTAGTGGGCTTTTCTGAACTAAACTGGCCCTGCGCTGACTTCCAGCTGTTTGGGAAAGCTGCTGAGCCTCAGCGGCTCCTTCCTACGGAAGAGGCCCAGCTGCCTGCTCCAAGTGAAGTTAGAGCTCAAGGGCAGAACTGCACTTCCCTGGGGAGGGGGATTTGCTGCAGTCCCTGGTCACCAAGAGGGCGAGGACTCCGTCACTCCCAACCCAGGTGTTTGCTTTGAAAAGGTCTCTGATCACTTAGGAGTGCTGGACACCAAGCAACATAGGACCCTCCCTCAGCCCCCGCCCCATCTATGCCACAGTTAATTTTGTGTTTAGGTTGCTTTCATGGGTGACTAACTTTATTCAGTGAAATCAGGGTTTGTTTGATTGAGTTTTTTCTTTGCTACTTATATATTTAAAGGTACATGTTTCTTATTTTAGATCTCTACTGATAGTATTCTATGGGAAGATGCTGGAACACATTTTGCAAATGTGACTTTTTTTTTTTTTTTTAGTTTTGCTTGAAGCCTGTGTCACAATGTCAGTTGCTGCTGCCTTCTTTCCTTTTATGAGGTTCCAGAAAATTACTTTATTTATGCAAGTCAGGTGACTCTTAGGCCATGAAACCATTTGATGATAAACAGATTATCACTAGGTGCATATCTTATTGATATTTTGTGAACTGTTATGCCTGTGTTGCAAAAGTTGAATAGTTTTGTCTATATATATTGCTGTCTTCAGTGTACAGCATGGTTTTACTTAACTGAATGTTACTGTTTAATATTTTCTTCTTATAGAAGAGACCATGCCCTTTTGTATGACATGTTTTAATAAATGTTATCTGTCAATTTTGTAAAAGTTTTTTCACTCTGGGTGAAACATGTCTTTGTTTTCATTCTGGCTTTTGCCACCTGAGAATAAAAGTTATATTGTGGCCTTTCGAGAATAAATGCCAAATAGGCCGGATCGAATAGGTAGTGAGTGACCATTTGCAATGCCAGGCACTTACGATGATGCTCTCCTTAAAACCTCGCCAGCCCCATCATGTGTTAAGTGTGCGGGGTGTTCTCTGCTCCTTTAGATCCCCTCCCTACCCTGTGCTTCGTTCTGGAGTCCAGCCTCTCTGGTCAGGATCTACCAGATGTGCTGGAAGGAGCTTGGCATTTAAGCGGAGAGGTTGGGGAAGTCACTCCCCTGGCTTCTTCCTGCCGGGTGTGGGTTGACGGTGGCCGGGCTCCTCTGCCAAGGGCCATAGCTCCTGTTGGGCAACTTCAAGGTTTGGTAACCACACCCTGCCTCTATCATTTCAAGCCAAGGATTGGTCCCAATTCCCTGTTTGCCAGGCCTTAGGGGCTTCTCTGCCCTCGCAGGAGTCCCTTAACCCCGCCCACACCCTTTGTAAGTAGTCCCCTTATGACTACTAGCTCATCCCAGCTGAGTATGCCAAATGCTTCATGCCAGGACCCTGGCTGATGCTCCAGGACTGTTCATTTCACATGCGCAGCTGCTGGGATTCAGAGAAGGCAGGGTGTTCCCAAAGGCAGGACAGTGGCCAGAGCAGAGCTGGGGTGCGAATGCCGGGCTTCGTGGCTGCAACACGTGGAGGTGGCTTTTCCTCTGCTCCCAAATCCTCCATGCTCTTTAAGGGGGCTCTGCCTCACCTCACTTTGCCCTTCCCCAGCCACCCCCCTAAAAAAAGAAAACCCTGAAGGACCAGCAGCAGTGCCCTTTAAAAGTGCTACAGGCACTGCGAGCCCCACATATTTCCACACAACAGCTCATTACCCGAGACACTGCTTGTTTTAGACCAAACTTACCATCTTCCCACACACCTTCTGTTCCCACTGTTTGTTGTGAGGTTCCCTCCCCGTTGCTGGTTTTGAAGCTGCCGTGGCTTGGCCATCCTCTGCTGGTGAAGAAGCCAGAAGAACCGTTTCTAGCCCTTTTCCCCCGAGGTAGGGCCTGTCCATCCTGACCAAGGGCAAACAGCTCAGTCTCTGTGGCATGTGACCCCTCTGACCCCTACTTTCACCCCTCCTGGGGACCCTGCTAAGGCCTGTGGCTACCAGCAGTCCAGCCCCCCTAGAAAGCAGGTTTCACACGGCTCCCGCAGGCGAGGGACCTCTGGGGTGTGGAGATGAGAAGCCCTGTGTCCTTACCAGGAGGAAGGAAAAGATGAAGTGGTTCATTTGTCTTTGGGAACAAGGGCAGGATGTGAGCATGTAACACCTGTGCAGTTTACTTCGATTTCCGCACAGTCACCTCGGACAGCTTCCCCTCACACCCCCGGAGCATCCCTTGAGACCGTCTCCAGGCCTGGGCATCGCGGAGGGCGCACAGCTCTCGGATTGTCCCACAGTCAGTGGAGCAGTTAGCAAGTCGGCAGCAGGAGATGAGGTAAGCTGGAACTTGATGTAACAGCCATTCATTATTTGGTAAATGATCTTAAGTATGTTCTTTCTCTACAGAAAGCGAAAGAGAACCCTGTGCCCTTTGAACTTTATCTTGTTCTTTTTAAGAAAACTTGGACAGCGTTCTGTATTTAGAGTTCAGGAAATGACGATGGGCAAGAGTGGCATTTTTTCTTCTTAATGAGAAACCAGAAGTGGAGTGAAGGTGGGGAGAGAAATTTCATCATCTTTTTCTGAACTGGTTTGACTAGTTGGATCAAAACCAAACAATTTGACCCTGGCTGGTGTTGCCCAGTGGTGAGAGCATCATCCTGTGCACCAAAGGGTCGAGGGTTCAATTCCAGCTCAAGGACACGTATCTGGGTTGCAGGCTTGATCCTCAGCCCCGGCCAGGGCCCGTGCAGGAGACAACCAATCGATGTGTCTCTCTCACATTGATGTTTCTGTCTCCTCTCGGTCTCCCTCTCTTCCTCCCTCCCTTCCACTCTCTCTAAAAAAAAAAAAAAAAAAAAAAAAAAATCATTGGAAAAAATATCCTTAGGTGAGGATTATGAGGATTAACAAAAGAAAAACATGTTTTTTATTTTATAATCTTCTGCCACTTTCTTGTACCACTGCAAGTAGCTTGATGCCATTACAGGAAAACCACAGCTGTCCTTTGAGGAAGTGTGTGGGCTCTATAGAAACAGTAATTTATAAGCAGTATTATAGGTAAATATGTTTTATAAAAAACAGTGGCTTTTTAGACTCTAGTGATTGTGAGTTCTGATTTTTCTCATATTCCAAAATAAGAAACCAGTACTAAAGCCATTAAATGTATTTATAACTTAATAAGATACTAGTTAGTCCCCAGAGTATACTGGTCTGCCTAATGTAACAGCTAACCTTTATTAATGGAAGCTAAAGCCTGCTTCTTGAACTGCCCGTCTTGTTACTTTGGAGTCAGAATTGCTGTGATAAAATCTCACCTTTAGGGTTTGCTGAAAAGATCCTCAACTGCACGGCAGTTCACTCATGATGGAGGATGCCAAATCAGTAAAAGCTGCTAAAACTCCTGCAGGATCTGACTTCATAGAAATCATAGGCTTTTAAGTGACAGCAATGACCTTGAACTAAACTAGACAGGGTTAATTTTCACCTCATTTATATAGTGTGGAATATCTTTTGTCTACACACAATAGGAAGATAATTTTTCTTGGAGAATTTTTTTAATTGTAGTTCTATATACTTACCGGACTCTGAACCCCCACTTAACCCACTGAACACTGCATCCCCTTAAATAGGTGTAAGAATTGTGATTATGGACGGAAAATAACAGCTCTAAGCGAAGGTTTCATTGCACATTTAATGTGTGCTAAATTCTTAACTTGCATTAACGCATTTATTCCTGATAACAGTCCTATGAGGGAGAATTTTATTTCAGGCCCCCTCACAAAGCAGGAAAGGATGACAGCTTCCATGCTGTTGGAGAGATGTGGTTCCCCCCCAACCCCCCACCCCCACCCCCGCCTGGGCCAGCAGGGATGTCTGTGTCTGAGGGGGAGGTTCGCCCAGTTGTTCCTCTCCACCTGCAGAGCACGAGCACAGCCTCCGGTGCTGGGGAGCACAGGCCTGGGTGGGATTAGCCTCTGGTGCCTTTAGGTGATAGGTGACTCACCGGCAGCCCTCCGGTGGTCGCACTTTGCTCTCTTATGAGAAATACTGTTCCGTCCAGATTCTGTTCCAGGCCTGGATCGGCTGGCCCTACTTGAATTCTTTGGGTTTAGGAAATACATGTAGAAGTTAAACCCAGGAATGGAGAGTCCAGTGGTTTGCAAACTAGTAGAGACGTTCCATCAATACCTAACACAAGGATGGGCAGGCAAAAGGAGCACGACCCCACCCCCCGTTCCCTTCAGACCAGAGCAGCTTTATTTGTTTATTTGTTTTAATATTTTTATTGATTTCAGAGAGGAAGGGAGAGGGAGAGAGAGAGAGAGAAACATCAAAGATGAAAGAGAATCATTGATCAGCTGCCTCCTGCACACCCCACAGTGGGGATTAAGGCCACAGCCCGGGCTTGTGCCTTGACTAGGAATCAAACCATGACCTCCTGGTTCATAAGACCAGAGCAGCTTTAATTTCACATGGTACAGCCAACCACCTGCTCACTTTTTCATGGTGCTACATTTACCCAGGCCTACTGTGTTCTGCACTGTCCTAAGCCCTGTCTGTGGATCAACCCTGCACCCTCACACCAGCCCTGCAAGGTAGGTTAGTGCTGTTCCTGTCCAGCAGGAGGACTGACGACAGAGCCAGGACTCAAACCCAGGCAGCCCGAGTCCTGGGCTCCACTGAGCTATATGTGCTCTGTTGCTTCCTGGTGACTTGCCTGTTCAAGGATTCAGAATGTCCAAAGAAAACCCCACACTGCCTGCTGGTGCCCTGGGTGTTAAATTTTGAACATAAATAATCTAGAGAGGGATTCTAAAGGCCTGGGGCTTTTCTGGGTCCCCTGACCACTGTTCTGGTATTTATCTCCAGGGTCTTGGCACCAGCAGCACCTACTTATCTCTGGGTTGGTGGGCCCCAACCTGGCCCACCCTGTTCCTATCAGCGCCTGGGGCAGCCACTGCCTCACAATAGCCCCCAGTCCTAGTATAATCTCCCACCGCTAGACTGCTCCAAGACCTCCTCCTTCCTAAGCAGATCTAATCCTATTACCTCCTGTGATCCACCTGACAGTCTTAACTCCTTAGCCTGGCATTGGACCCCAACCTGACATTCGCCTACTGGCTCGTTTTGGTTTGCCGATCCCCGTGTGGGCCCTGGCTGCTCTGCTTGGGCCTCACACAGATGATTCCCCTGCCTTGAATACTCATCTCTTTCATCCACTGCTCCCAGACCTTTGTCCTCCTGGAAAACTCCTGCAAAAATAATCTCTTAATGCCTTCCCTGAGCACACCTGATGTTATTCACACCTCTCTCAGTGGCACCATTTCATTTTGAACTTAGTTTTGCTGTAGCATTTGTCACTGTATTGTAACTTTATATATATCATGCATTCTTCACACACACACACACACACACACCCCTGTGAGACAGCGATCTCCTTGGAAATAGGAACCGTGTCTCTAAGTGGCTGTTCCAGGCACAGTCCTGAACCATAGTCAGTAAATACTGCTGAATTTTAAAAGAATAAATGCAAATTTTACTGTTCGGTCCTTACCCACCAATTACAGTCATGGACTGTTTGCTTGTCAAAGACCTTTCTTAGGAAGTGCGGGCACCTAGCAATCTTAGGAAGTGCCCTCTTCCGGCTGAGTGTCACCTACATATTGCTGAACTTGCCCGTTAGCTGAGAATTCTAAGGTAAGCATAGGTCCTCTTTCCTAACCTGAATGACAGATTCTATATCTGAGTAGGTGCTTAGCTGTAATACTGGATTTAGGTAGTCAGGCAGAAGAGAGCAGTGGGATTTATCAAATAATGATATCTACTAGAGAAAAGCCATGTCTGTCTGGCTCAGCCAACATGTCAGTAGAATAACTTACAGTTGGCAACTTGCTTTAGAAGCAGATAAACTGAATTGCTATACTCCTTATGAAATATACTAGAGGCCCGGTGCACAAAATTCGTGCAGTGGCGGGGGGAGGGTGTCCCTCAGCCCAGCCTGCACCCTCTCACAGTCTGGGAGCCCTCAGGGGATGTCCAACTGACGAAGTAGGCCTACTCCCCTAAGCCGGCAGTTGGACATCCTTAGCACTGCTGCGGAGATGGGAGAGGCCCCCGCCACCGCCACTGCGCTCACCAGCCATGCGCCTGGCTTCTGGCTGAGTGGCGCTCCCCCTGTGGGAGCACACTGGCCACCAGGGGGCAGCTCCTGCATTGAGCATCTGTCCCCTGGTGGTCAGTGCCCATCATAGCAACCAGTCGTTCGACCAGTCGTTCCCCCCGTTCGGTTGACTTGCATGTTAGCCTTTTATTATATAGGATTAGACCTATAGTAAAGAAAAGTGACTCTTTTTGTTGTTGTTAATTTCTTGTAGAAGCTGGTTGGGGTCCACCAACCCAGAGATAAGCAGGTGCTGCTGGTGCCAAGACCCTGGAGATAAATTCCAGAGCAGTAGTTAGGTGGCTCAGATAAGCCCTTGGCCTTTGGAACTCCTCTCTAGCTTGTTCTAGAAGAGGTCATATTTTCAGTGACATTTTGGCACAATCTAAAACAGATGGCTACATGTTATTTGGTGCTTCATCTAATACTAAAATTTGTGGCAATTGATTAAGGACCAAAAGTTGCTTTGGACGCATTCAAATAGTGATTGGTCTGAGCCTTAGGTAACAGTAGAATGTTGTAGTGGGCAAACAGAACCTGGCGAGACAACTGGGAGGATTGCATGCAACAGCAACAGTTTGCTTCTCGTGCCCGCTCTGAGGGAGCACGGCGTGGGGCTTTTTTGACCATCTGAAATAGAAAGGGCAGCCATGAGCTTGTGGCTCACACAGGGGACTCTGCCAAGAAGGTGTTAGCGGTTCTGCTGGAAGTGGTTTCAGAAGCATCTTAGGGCAAATGTTTCTACTTTTCAAGTAGAAGGATCATTTTCAAATATTAGAAAATTTTGCAGAACCTCCCCCCCAAAAAAAACAACAACACACACACACACAAAAACAACAACAACATGACAGTAGTTGACCAAGAAAAATTAAAAATCACAAAACACTATTATGGATTCAGTAATGTTTAAATGCATTATATTTATTCTTCAAAAAGTATATAGTTGAAAAGTATTAGCGCACACGTGTGGAAATCTTAAAAAATAGCTTTATATCCCCTGGCCCATTCATTCTCTCATTTATTTACCAAATATTTATTGACCACCAGCTCTGGCCCTGGGCTGGTGATTGGCTGTCTTCAGAGGTAGTGAAAAACACTTCTGTTCGGGATAGGTCCTTTGCTGTCTGTGTCATATAAGTAGCTAAACCTTATAAATCTAGACCTGTAAGTAA